TCTCTCTCTCTCTCTCTCTCTCTCTCTCTCTCTCTCTCTCTCTCTCTCTCTCTTTTTTTTTTTTAATCCCTTTCAAATGTCATCATATTCTTTTTCTTTTTGTTAAAATGTTTTTGTTTGTTTGTTTGTTTTGTTTTGTTTGTTTCAATGTTGTTTCAATTTTTTTTTTTTTTTATGGATGTGTGTGAGTGTGTGCGTGCGTGCGTGCGTAGGGAATATTTATTGCTAAAATATAAATAAATTTGATTCATTAAATTTTTTTCAATTTTTAAAAGGGCGTAATGCCGCGCCACTGATATATTTATGACGGTAGAAATTTTTAGGGCGATGTAAACATTTTGAAAATTGGAAAATGGGAAAAATTTATTTTGTTGGAAAATGTCAAATTTCCAAAATCGTATTTTAATTAATTAATTAATTAATTTTTTTATTTTTCGTGTTTCTTGGATTTTATTCTCATAAGGTGCTGGTGTATTCTTACTTCATTGCAAAAATTTTTCTTATTGAATTTATCGTGCCATCCATCGGTCGGTTTTTTTTGTTAAAAATTTAATTTTCGTGCCGATCAGGAAAAAAGAAAATTAAAATTATGAGTTTGAGCACGTATTTCTGAAAAAAAAAAAAAAAAAAAAAAAAAATCAAATGCAAAGCAATTGATTTACTTTTTTTGATTTTTTTTTTATTAAAAATGTGAAAGGTATTTAATAAATGTTCAGTAAATATATACCGAATCTTATTTATTACCGGTTTTGAAGTCGTCGTCGTCGTCGAAATTTTTTTTTTGTTAAAATTTGTCTAAAGTAACAACAAAAGGCTTGCAAAGACAAAATTTGAAAATGGTGGCAGAAGTTTACGTCACACTATTAATTTTAATTTTAATTTTTTAAATTAATTTGAATGTAATGTATCGGATTAAACGAGTAAATTATATTATTATTATTATTATTATTATTATTATTATTATTATTATTATTATTAAAAATTTAAATGACGGTGTTAATTTAAAAGAGGTAGAAAAAGGTAGAGATGACGATTTTTGTTAGGTTTCCACCGTTGGTTCTTCGATCCAAAAAAAAAAAAAAAAAAAAAAAATTAATTTTTATTAAGTTGGTATCGTGTGACGTAGCGAGGGATTTTTTTTTTTTTTTTTTTTATACTAAACAGAAAAGTTTACTTTTTCTACTTGTTTATAGTTTTATGCCACCCTTTTTTTTTTAGGCTATTAATAACAATGAGTAATTTGATATCGTAACAAAACAGCATTTTATTTTATTTTATTTTTGTGCAAGTGACGATTTTCTCCCCCCTCCTTCCTTCCACTCCCTTCCTACCTTACTCCCCGGGTTTTTATTTTTAAATTGTAAAAAAAAGGAAAGAAAAAAAAATGATTGTGGCTTGATTTTTTTTTTCTTTTCCTTTTGAAAATTTCTCTCGAATTGAATTTGACGGTCACTTGATTACCACAGTCTGATAACTACGTTTATTATTATTATTATTATTATTATTAATATTCGTGTCAGGTTATTTTCCTTTTTCTCTCTTCGGTGAATAAAAGCACGTTTGAACTCATACTTGACCGGTAAATTTAAGGGAACTGACAAAAAAAACAAAAAAAAATGTATTTTCAATAATTTCCTTTTTTTTTTTTTTACAATTAAATTTCTCGTAAGATTTTTTTTTTAGAGTTCAATTATTATTATTATTATTATTATTATTATTACTTCGATTGATTGACATTGAATGTAAATTGCTTATTAGTCACGGAAGAACGAATGGCAACCTAAAAAAAAAAAAAAAAAAATGAGTGAGTAATTAAAAAAAGATGGTGGAAATTTTTTTTTTTTTTTTTGTTTTTTTTTTTTTTTTTTATGGGTTGGTAATCGGCGTGTAATTTTTCTCTCTCTTCTTTCCAACATGTTTTTTTTGTAGTTTTCAAACGTTTTCAAACGTTTTGCCCTGTGGATTCGTATCGGAAAATAAGTTATAAAAAAAAAATAGGAGGGTTGGTTTGTTAAGTCGCAAACACGAGACTAAAACGATCGGTGGTGACTCAATTCACGTGAAAAAAAAAAGGAAAAAAAAAAAAGGGAAAAACTTGATCGTGATTCATACGTTTGTTTCCTTTTTTTTCCTTTTTTTTTTCCTTTTTTTCCTTTTTTTCCATTTTATTTCAAACTTTTAGTTTTTTGACAAAATTTTCAAAATGAATTTATGTGTATTCAAAAACGTATAAAATTGGGAGCAGATTAGATGAATGACTTGTGTCGCCGATTAACGTCAATTTAAATATTTATTATTATTATTATTATTATTATTATTAAATTTCGTTATGAGTTTCGATAAGGACAATCGATTCGAAAATCTCTTATCATAACCTCTCTCTCTCTCTCTCTCTCTCTCTTGAGATGAGAGAATGACGAGGAGAATAGTCGTAATTAAATGTATTTAATTTAATTTTTTTTAATAAATAATGATGGACGCACGTGTGTGCAATGGGAAAAATTACACGTATTTATTTTTTTTATTTCTCACACGTAATTATTTTGGTTTTAGTCACAATAATTAATTTTCTTACGTAAGCCCCCTTTTTTGATTCTCTCCCCTCCCTCCCTCCCTCCCTCTCTGTCTCAGGGTTATTAATTAAATAGCACACTGCAACGTAATGCACGCATTATGCACATGCACATAAGGTAATTTACATTTTCGGAAAATCCACGCAAAAAAAAAGAAAAAATTAATTATTATTATTATTATTTTTAATATAAATCACGCTGGAATGAATGTATGGGGCGGGGGGAGGGGGAAAGGTTAAGGAAAATGTTACAAAAAAGACGTTACGTCATTTATGTGCGATTGTTGATTTAAATTTTTACGTTTGTTTGTTTGTTTGTTTTCTCTATTGCAAACTCTTCAAAAAAATTTTTCATTTGTTTTTCTTTTTTTTTTAAATAAATGCGTTCTCTCTCTCTCTCTCTCTCGCTCTCTCTTCCTCCCTTTAATAAAAGATAGTTTTGTATACGACAGGTTGGTTGGTTGGTTTCATTTTTATGACGGTCGTAAAAAAGAATAAAATTTCAATTTTCCGTGGCGCCCATTTTTTGTTTTTTTTCCCGCCCCCCCACTCTCTCTCGGGTTATAAAAAGGAATTTCGTAAGAAATTTCAAGAGGGGAATGGTAGTGGTGGTGGTGCTTTTTGCTTCCCGATAAAGAAATCTTATCCTAATCTTGTAATTTGACTTTTATAACGTATCGTGGATTGGGGGTGTCTCCTCTCCCTACCTCCTTCCCTCTCCAAATTCGATTCAACTTTTTTTTTTTTGTTTTGTTTTTGAGATTTTGATGACGTGTATTCTATTTCTTATGATCAAAAATGAAAAATTTTAAATAAGAGAAAATATTGAGTTTTTCCCCCTTTTTTTTCCTTTTTTTTTTTTTTGATTTATGACACGTTCGAATTTGTTAGTGATCAATTTGACAATTTATTTATTTATTTTAACGAAGACATTTTTCATAAAATAATTTTACGTAACGGTTATTTTTTTTTTTTTACATGATGTTTACGAATCGTTGGGATTCGTTGGATTCGATCCCCTTTGTTTAAAATCGTTTTCACCTTTTTTTTTATTTTGGTTTTTTAAAAGTAGGAAAAATATTTATGGGGGGAGGGGTGATGGGGAGGTGGTAGGAGGAAAAAAAAGAAAGGTGTGAAATGATTGTGGATTTGAATACGAGAAATTGTAATTATTCATTCACCCATTTTGGTTAGATTTTTTTTTAAAAAATTATTACAGACACGACACCAAAACAATCTGTACGTTTAGCGATGCGTAACATTTATTATTAAAAAATCGATCGATGCTTCATCAAACTTGTTTTCATATCGATTATTATTTTTATCTTTTTTTCCTCCTCCCCTCATCCCCCCTTTCCATCCATTTTTAATAATTTATTTTGTGTGAAATGTGATTCAGACGAGAAATTTTTTTTTTTTTTTTTTTGTTACTCACGGTCGTGTAAAATTTGTCATTTTATTCAATTGAGATTTTTTTTCATCGACTTGAAAAGTTTTTCTTACTCTTGTTAAAAACATACACGATTCGTCATAAAAGAAAAAAAAAAGTCTTTTAAATTTATGTGAAATCATCTTTAGAAAATTTCATTGTCACGTTCGTAATTATTTAATTACATAAAAAAAAAAAAAAAAGTTTTGTCAGAGTGCTATTTTCTTTAAAATTGTGTTACACAAATCGTTGTAATGGGTTTGAATGAATCTTCAAAATAATAATAATAATAATAATAATAATAATGCAATTCATGTGAAAGAATTTTTTTTTTTTTTTTTTTGGCAAAGTTGAAGCTCTTTGATGAAATCTTCAAAAAAAAAAAAAAAACGACGACTTTAATCATGATGTATCATCATCATCATCATTCACGTAATAACCGTGGATTTTGACACAATGTGATTTTTTCCAAGGTCTCCCTCTCCCTCTCCCTCCTCCCTCCCATTTTTTTTTCTTTTCTGCGCAAAAAACTTATTTAATTTATATTAAATTAATTTATCATTATATATATATTTTTTCTTTTGAGTTAATATTAAATCATTTCTTTTTTATAAATATTTGTTTTGGTGAGTTACGATCCTGAAAGTTGTTTTTTTATATATTTAAATAATTAATTGTAATCAAATAATTATAAAAAAAAAATTTCCAAGCATTTATTAAAACTCAAAGTTAGACCTCGAGTAAATAAAAAATTAATTAATTTTAAAGTAATTATATTAATTTCAACGTAGGGCAAAGATTCAGAAGTGAATTAACACTAATTACATCGACGACCTTAATTTATTTTTATTTTTTTAATATATATTTATATATTTTCCACCATTTTAAAATTTTTTTTTAAATATTCAAAAATCATTCATATGGCAAAGTTAAAAAAAAAAAAAAAGAAAAAATTCAAAATTGTTTTTTTCTCTTCCTATTATTAAAAACATGTTTTAAATGAATGCGGAAAAGGGTCATTGTTCGTTTTTTCATCTTATTTCGATCCTCCATTTTTATTTTAATTTTTTTTTTAATAATTATATGTATATATTTTTGCGATGGCCGATTCATTAAAGATGTTCTTTTGCATAAAGGTGCATTTGGAAATTTTTGCTGAGTAACGGATTAACGGAGTAGGGAATTAAATATAAAAAATAAATATTAATTAATTAAGATATGTCATGGCAGATGAATTACGTCATAAATATTATTTAGTCATATGAGGAACCGTCATTGTCGTCGTTTCCACACCGAATTGCTGTCGTTAGATTATTATTATCATTATTATTTTATTGGCACACGCTTTGCTTCATTGTTATATCTTATTACTTAATAAGTTTTATTAAAACGTCGCATTTGAATTGAATCCCATATGATTTACAACATCGACTTGAAAATTTTATTATGAATAATGTTTTTATTTATTATTACAAAATGAAAAGCGGGATTTAGATCGCGCTAATAATGATGATGATAAATATTTCGTTAAAAGGAAGGAAAGAAAAATTTTCTAATTCGGATATCATTTTTATTTTTTTTTTTAGGTGAAGTTCATACGGTCGCCAAGCGTCTCGTAGATTTGGCAAAAGAAAATAATTCAACGGACAATATAACCGTGATTGTATTTTTTTTAACGGATCCGTCAGAAATCTATAATTGTTCGATCGATTTAAACGGCCTCAGGCCGAAAGTAATACATCAAAACGGAATTAAAATGGAGTCAAATTTTCAAACGAACATGAATGAATTTCTGTTGAACGAATCCGGAGTGAATGGGATGTACGAAGCGAATGGAAATCATCATTTCAGAGATCACATGAAAAACGAATCGGATGAAGATTTCGGACCGGAAACAGACGTGGACGCTCTCGACGATGTTTTAACATCTCCTAAAAACAATTTAAATTCATTCGGAAGTGATTGTTGGCAAAAAGGACAGATAAATTCGGATAACGGAAGTAATAAATTGATTGAATTCGCGAGAGATGAAACGGTTAAAGTCAAAGAAAATTTCCCGCAAGAATACGATGAGTCGTCGTACAATGAGAAAAACGCAACGGAAAATTTAGATTCGAACAATTACGAAACGAAAACCGGAAACGAATTGAACAACATGAATTTTTTGAATGATTCTGAAATCAGACAAGAATCTAACTCTGATGATAAAGTCGTATATGAAGAAATGATAAGCGGGAAAAAATATGAGGAAACGATGAGTTTTGAGCGCGAGAAAAAAAATGATGATAATAATATTTTGGATTTGGATGATTTGAAAAATGAAAAAGAATTTCCGGCGAATGAATTTTCATCGACGAATGATAAAAATCCATTTCGCGATTCCGTTATAAATAATTACTCAGAAGTAATAAATGCTAACGATTCGAGCGATGCTAATGAAATCGTGGCCGAAGAAGTCAATTTACAACAAATGGATAACACGGCCGACGTAAAAGATTTCAATGCAGAAAAAAACGAGAACGAATCGAAAGAAAATGTCGAAAGTGCATTAGCAGAAGAAATGAAAGAATCCGAATTATTCGCTCCTCGATCCGTAGATCTCGATAAACAAACTTTTGTCGCCGAATCTCTTTCGCATTTGAATGAAAATTTGGAAAATAAGGATTCCGGAAATGCGACATCACCTGTTGATGGCTGCGACAAAAGTAACGAGACTCAGGATTTCAGTCATGATGATAACAAATTTTGTGAAATGGCTCCCGACGAAAAGCGTGAAAATATCGAGGAGGAGGATGTCAGCAAAGAAAAACCGATTTTAAATGAAACCGCATTAGAATTAACGAGTGAGGAAATTCAAAATCAAATATCGAACGAAGAAATCACTTTTAACGAATCCGTTAAAATTGAATCTTGCGAGTCTGCTGACACGACCAACGTATCAAACGCCGCTGCCTTTTGCCAAGACGTAAGTTATATATGTATTTTTTAAACTCGTTAATATTTTTTTTTTTTTTTGAACGGTTAAGTATTTAATTTGAATGGAAACGTTTTCGAGAACATTCTCCGAAGTTACGGCCGGTAATCACGAATTTTTTGTAATGGCACAAATAATTAAAACTTGCATAACGGTTTTTTCTCCCCCCCCCTCCCTCCCTTTCTCGTAAAAAAAACAAACTTTAATTTGCTTTAATGGATTTCCATGGTAGAATTACGTACCGATTTTCTTTTTTATTTTCCAAATTTTTTGTTTGCGTCATTTTCTATTCCAGGATGTTTTTGTTAATGATTCTAAATATTCTGTTTGGGGGGGGGGAAGAGAGGGAGAGAGAGAGAAATTCTATCTGATAATCGCCCAGAATAATTTTTTTTTTTCTTTTTTCCTCCATGATTGAGTTGTTGCATCCATTTTTTTTTTTCATTTTATTCAGCCGCAAAATTACGACTGTGGATTTCGCGGTTAAAAAAATGGGGGGGGGAGGGTAAGGGAACGTATTGTAAGGTTGAAAATTATTTAAAAAACGTGATTTCGTAAAAGGTGGTGGTAAAAGTTAAAAACTTGAGCATTTATTTAAAAAAAAAATTTATTTTTGTTATGCACCTGATAAAAAAATAATAACAAAATCGATACAGAATTTCTTTTTTTTCCCCTTTTCCTTCCCCCCATTCATTATTCCGTAAATAAGAGGTCGATTTTACGTGAAAGTGGTTATTTATAAATAAAAAAAAAATTTAGTGCTCTCATTGTGTCTCGTGTTTATTATTATTATTATTATTATTATTATTATTATTATTATTATTATTATTATTATTATTATTATTATTATTATTATTATTATTATTATTATTAATCCAAGTGTGATGATGTTGCGGAGGTTTAAGTGTGTGTGCGTGTGCGTGAGTGCGTGTGCACAGCATAAAAAAAAAAATAAAAAATTTCACTGGAAATCATCATCGTTAGCAGAGCACAACCAACAATTTGAGTTTTTTTTAAAATCGTTTTTAAATTTATTTATAAAGTAAAAGAGGTTCATAAAGAAGAAGAAGAAGAAGTCAAAGTCTAGACGTCGACGTCTTTTATTTTTAGGATTCCTTCGAACTTAATATTTTTATTTATTTATTTTTCACTGTTTTATTGATTTTTTTTTCTCGATTTCCTTTGTGACGTTTCGAAAATTGCAACAACGATTCTCATTTAAAAAAAAAAAAAAATTGTAGTTGTGTCATTTTGTGGCGTCTCTCTCTCTCTCTCTTTTTTCTTCAGGATTTTGTATTTTTTCGGTTTTTGAGGCTCGCTTCAATATTAGTTGTAAAGAAAAATTCATGGCAAATATTTTTTTTCCAACATTTTCTTTTATTTAATAAATAGAAAAAAAACCGGCTACTAATTATCCAGTCGTTTCTAGTCACGGACCGTGAAGAAATTTATTTATTTATTTATTTTTGTTTTAAAATAAAATAAAAAAAAAAAAAAAAAGAAATATTTGCGCGAGTTCAAGAAATCTGCGGAGAGAAATAAAATTGAAAACGACGGATATAAAAATAGAAATTGTCGTCTGCCACTATTAAATGTCTGGTTCAGGTTTAACGAAATGATGCTCGTTCTTTTATTTTATTTTATTATTTTTAAGTAAGCGTAAAGATGCCTTTGAATCTAGGTAGGTAGCAGCTACCTAGCTACCTAGCTAGGTATTTAGGTATTTGATGTTTTTCTGCTACGTTATTTGGAAATTGTTTGTATATTTTTATCACCAAATTAAATTATTATGACCTAATTTTTTTTTAAAAAAAACCTTGATTATTCTACCTTGAATTGTTTTTTTTTTTTTTTTTTTTTCTCCACCGACTAAGTTACGCGATTACGCTTTGTTTTTATTTTTATTAAAATAAATTTTATAGGTCGTTGACCGAATCGCTAAAAATAATTCATCGTTAAAACAAAAAAAAAAAAAAAAAAAAATTGAAAACGTCTAGAAAATTATTTTATTATTATTTCCCAGCAGGAGCAGGAGCATTTGTCGTAATAATTTTGTTTTTTATTTTAAGTTTTGTTTAAAATAAAAACAAAATTTTCAAGTTGGAGAAAAATTTTAGAAAATATCCTAGTAATAGATATTTTTTCTAGAAAAAAAAAAAAAAATGTCCGACAACACGTTTAAACTCGGTTTTTCTCTCGTACAAATCACATTCGCACGTTTAGATTACGGGGAAACGTTTAACGGTCGATTTATTCAACACAACAAATCGTGATTAATGTATTAAAAAAATAAAATAAAATAAAATTTTTTTTCAGAGTGTTATCCCGTCGGACATTAGCGAAAATCCACCGGAAATTTGTTTCGTACCAGACGTTTCCGGTTCGAATAAAATTTCGACAGATGATTATTATTATCATCAAATGGAAGGGGATGATTCGAAAAACGATGTTGATTCTTCTTCGCCTGAACATCTACCATCACCATCGGTTCCCACATTAGACAACAGTAAGTTTTTTTAATTTTTATTTTTATTTATTTTTAAAAAAAAAAATCATTTCGACGCCATTTTAATAAAATTTGCCAACATGGCGATGTTTAAAAGACACTCACTCATTCGCTCTCTCACTCGCTCAAATTTCGTTTCGTGCGAATAAATAATAATAATAATAAAAAATATAAAAAAAAAATTCACTTTATGATTTTTTCGCAATGTTTTTTTCTTATTTTTATTACCATAGGTAATTTTTTTTTTTTTTATCTATCTTCTATAAAAAAAAAACGTTTTTTCTTCATCTTCTTCTTCGTCTACTTCTTTTTCCATTCGTTAGAAAAATTATTAGAAAAAAAAAAAAAAACAATTATGGTATTCCGGTTTTAAAATTAAATTTTATTATTGCTTTTTAAAATCGCTCTCATTTAAAAATTGGATTGGAAATCAACATTTTAAAAAAAAAAAAAAAAAAAGTAAAAGAAAAGTAAAAAAAAAGTAAAGGAAAATTATTATTATTATTATTAGTAGTGGTAGTGGTAGCGGTAGTAGCGGTAGTAGTGGTAATAGTAATTAAAAAAAAAAAAAAACGGGAGGAATCATACATTAAGTATGATTAAAAAAGGGATAAATCAAATCAATTTCGTAATTATTAATTATTATTATTATTATTATTATATATTTTCTATCTTTCTCTCTCTTTTCGTTTTCTTTCTTTTTCGTATTTAATATTATGCCTGATTTATTATTATTATTATTATTATGTAGAAATAGCCGGGAAAATGTTTAATTTAATTTTTTAAAAAAAATAATGATTTAAATTGATTTTGTTTTGTTTGTTCGTTTGTTTGTTGTTGTTGTTGTTTCGTGCATGCGATTCCCATTAGATGAAAATTTCTTGTTTTTATTCTTTAAACATTATCATCATTATTATTATTATTAGTATTATTACCGTCTTATTATTTTAGTTATTAATGCGAAATTATTTATCATTTATCATCGTTATTTTTTTTTTTAATGCGGATTTGAAATTTTCTAGAAATTTTATTTGATATTTAAAATCGTAATTTTAGAATTTTTTCGACACCGATAATGATCGCAATAATAATAATAATAATAATAATGTTGAGTTATTTGGAACTTTGCATTTACGTAAATTTTGAATTATTTTGCCGAAAAAAATCGTGTGCAATCAATCGCAAATCGGGCGAATCGTTAAAAAAAGCAAATTCTAAAGTTACGACGAAAATTAATTGATATTAAAATTTGTATGCGAGCATGTTTTATCATGTTGTTGTTGTTGTTAATCCCACGTTCTTCATTAATTCTTATTCACGACTTTATTATTATTATTCGTTTTTTTTAGATTTTTCAAACGATCCCGATCGAACTTTTATCGAATCATTGGAAACAAAATTTAGAAATAGTTTTTTTTTTTTTTTTTTTTTTTTTTTTTTTTAATTTTACTCGAGCACTCGAATTTACTCGAATCCCCGCTCTCCAACATTTTTTAAAATGAGGGGGAAAAAAAAAAAAAAAAAAAAAAATTTTTTTAACGAAATGGACGCGACGTATTCAGTTTGAAGGTAGATTTCGCTATTATTCATACACGGTTCATTGGAGAAAATAATAATAATAATAATAATAATAATAATACGCGAACGCGTTTAACGAACGCCTCAATTCGAAATAATTGACGAACGTTTTGTTTTAAATTTTTCAAATGAGAATGGGTTGTTATTATCATCATCATTATTTGTAAAATTATTTATTTTTTTTTTTCGTATAATAATAATAATAATAGAAAACGATGGCGTAATAAATATTGGGTGTGAAAATTTTTCGCGTTTTAAAAACAAAACAAAAAAAAAAAAATTATTTTCGTATTTCCTGTTGTTAACAAATAATAATAATAATAATAATAATAATAATAATAATAATAATAATAATAATAATAATAATAATAATAATAATAATAATTCGTAATTTCTTTTTCGGTTTCGTCTTTGAAAAATAAAATTTATCGTGGTTCTAGTTAAAAGTTTTCGTACGAACGAACGCGACGACACTCACGATATTTGGAAAACGCGTGATTTTTTTTTTTGTCGCAAGTACATCAATTTTTATCATCATTATTATTATTTTTTGTTTGTAAAATCTGAATACGCGTCGCGACGGTAATCAATAATTCATTCATTCATTCATTCATTCATTCATTCATTCTTTTCCGTTTTCTTTAACGAAGACAAAGTTTACTGTGATTGTAAAGAAAATAATGACGGCAAAAAATTAAAAAAAAATGTCTTTTTTTTTTTAATTTTAGTCGTCGTCGTCGTTTTTATTTTGGATAGTATTTTTTTTTTTTTACACAGAGGTCACAACGCACGCACGCACACACGCACACGAATTAAAAAAAAAAAAAAAAGAGGAATTCGGTGACAGGAAAAATAATGTTGTTTTCGATTTTAATTTTTAACTATGTTTAAAAAAAACAATGGACGACGTTTACAAAAAGAAAAAACAAAAATAATTGCTGCCATCATCGTCGTAGAAAGAGTTTTTTTTTTTTTTTAAATTCTCGAACGTACGACGAAACGTAACGTTTTTTTATTTAAAAAAAAAAAAAAAGAAAAAGAAAAACGAGAAATAAAAACGTTAAAAAAAAAAAAATTCGTGTCTTTTTGTTTTGGTTGTTGGCGAAAGGTAAAAAAAAAATTCTTCGACTTCTTTCCGGTTTCTCATCTCTCAGATCGTTTCATTTTTCATTGCAATTAATTTATCGAACGTTTAATTTATTATTATTATTATTGTTGTTGTTTTCGATCGCGGGAAAAATGCCTGTGGAAAAGTGTGTGCGAAAAATTATAATGGCGGATCGTATTGGAATTCAATTACACATTATAACTGTAAATTAATTGCTTTTCTTTCTTTTTTAATTTTAATGGGTTGTTGTTGTTAAATTTTTGGTTTTTTCTCTTCCCCTCCCCGCCCCCATTTC